GATGTAGATGTACCAAGGTTGGTATTGGTCCACATTGATAGAATGATGTAGGTGTACCCAGGTGGGTATTGGTCTACATTGACAGAAGCTTGTAGGTGTACCCAGGTGTGTAGATGTACCCAGGTGTGTATTGGTCTACATTGGTAAAGGGATGTAGGTGTACCCAGGTGGGTATTAGTCTACATTGACAGAAGGATGTAGGTGTAACCAGGTGTGTAGATGTACCCAGGTGGGTTTTGGTCTACATTGATAGAAGGATGTAGGTGTACCCAGGTCGGTATTTGTCTACGTTGATAGAAGGATGTAGATGTACCCAGGTGTGTAGATGTACCAAAGCGGGTATTGGTCTACATTGATAGATGGATGTAGGTGTACCCAGGTGGGTATTGATCTACGTTGATAGAAGGATGTAGATGTACCCAGGTGTGTAGATGTACCAAAGCGGATATTGGTCTATGTTGATAGAAGGATGTAGATGTACCCAGGTGGGTTTTTGTTTACATTAACAGAAGGATGTAGATGTACCCAGGTTTGTAGATGTACCCAGATGTGTATTGGTCTACATTTGTAGAAGGATGTAGGTGTACCCAGATGGGCATTGGTCTACATTGACAGAAGGATGTAGATGTACCCAGGTGTGTAGATGTACCCAGGTGGGTATTGGTCTACATTGGCAGAAGGATGTAGATGTACCCAGGTTTGTAGATGTACCCAGGTGTGTATTGGTCTACATTTGTAGAAGGATGTAGGTGTACCCAGATGGGCATTGGTCTACATTGATAGAAGGATGTAGATGTACCCAGGTTTGTAGATGTACCCAGGTGTGTATTGGTCTACATTTGTAGAAGGATGTAGGTGTACCCAGATGGGCTTTGGTCTACATTGATAGAAGGATGTAGATGTACCCAGGTTTGTAGATGTACCCAGGTGTGTATTGGTCTACATTTGTAGAAGGATGTAGGTGTACCCAGATGGGCTTTGGTCTACATTGATAGAAGGATGTAGATGTACCCAGGCTTGTAGATGTACCCAGGTGTGCAGATGTACCCAGATGGGTATTGGTCTATGTTGATAGAAGGATGTAGGTGTACCCAGGCTTGTAGATGTACCCAGATAGGTATTAGTCTATGTTGATAGAAGGATGTAGATGTACCCCGGTGGGTTTTGGTCTACATTGACAGAAGGATGTAGATGTACCCAGGTGTGTAGATGTACCCAGTTGTGTATTGGTCTATGTAGAAATACAGTATGCGACGATGTACCCAGGTTTGTAGATGTACCCAGGTGTGTATTGGTATACATTTGTAGAATGATGTAGGTGTACTCAGGTGGGCATTGGTCTACATTGACAGAAGGATGTAGGTGTACCCAGGTGTGTAGATGTACCTCGGTTGGTATTGGTCTATGTTGATAGAAGGATGTAGGTGTACCCAGGTGTGTAGATGTACCTCGGTTGGTATTGGTCTATGTTGATAGAAGGATGTAGATGTACCCAGGTGTGTAGATGTACCCAGGTGGGTATTGGTCTATGTTGATAGAAGGATGTAGATGTACCCAGGTGTGTAGATGTACCCAGGTGGGTATTGGTCTATGTTGATAGAAGGATGTAGATATACCCAGGTGGGTTTTGGTCTATGTTGACAGAAGGATGTAGATGTACCCCGTTGGGTTTTGGTCTACATTGACAGAAGGATGTAGGTGTACCCAGGTGTGTAGATGTACCCAGGTGGGTATTGGTCTATGTTGACAGAAGGATGTAGATGTACCCAAGTGGGTTTTGGTCCACATTTGCAGAAGGATGTAGGTGTCGGGCGTTGAATAACAGCAGTCATATTTGTTTCCTTCAACGGCCATCTATGTTTCCCTATATTTGAGACTGCCTCCGTGGTCTAGTGCTAGAGTTTCCGCCCGGAGAGCCAAAAGTCCGGGGTTCGATCCCCGGCCGCGTAATAACAAAGACGTCAAAAGATGTTACTCGTTAGCCTGATTTGCGCTCGGCATTGAGGCATTAAAGGGCTAAAACAAGGACTGGTCAGCTGAGAGTCAGTATACTGTGTCTCAGTGGGTATTGGTCTCCATTGATTGAAGAATGTGGGTGTACCAACGTGCATTGTATCTCAATTAGCTAGCACTTTAAAATCGGCATCAATCCGAACTAGTACAAGCAGCCACACACACACATGAGCATGCACGTTGCTTTATAAGTGCAATAATCTCTGACGCGACATTAAACCTCATTTCACCTCACCTCACCTCACCTCACCTCACCTCACCTCACCTCAGCCTATATTTCATGATCTGAAAGCAGGCAGATGTTGATACCGTGGCTTTACGGCATAGGCATATTCGCCGATTAAAGCCATTCGTTATGCGACGAAATTCAATTATTTTCATGACTTAGAACTGACAAGCCCAACGCGAATATTACCACGTGGTTTCAAATCATTTTGTCCACCAGGAGATACCAGTCGATAATTCAGAAACGTTACCGCATAGACTCTATAGTTAATCGTGTACCTTACAATCAGCCTTTTCAAAGTTTTGTATAAAATAGGCATTGTCGGCAATCGCTCGTCTGCACTGTGTGTGCACGATGGAAGCCGAGATAACACAAAACAACCGCCTGGCGCCCTAAATGACCTTTTTTGATCATCAACAATAATCGGAATATTTTAATATTTTAAAATTTATATATTTTTTTCTGTGTGAGCACGAACGGAATATCGTCAATAGTTTCAGCTGCATTCAATGTTGAATGGCAGGTTGCATTTTCCTATAATATTATGTATATAAAATACCACATGTGACCAACAGTTTCCCATTTGATTGAACGATAAGTACGGTTCATTTGTATTTTCTATATACTAATATAGATATTTTGAAAACTACAACGGGGTCTTACTTCAACAATATACAATCAGGTATATGAGTATGACAATATCTTTGCCAACCTATAAAAAAATACCATCAGAAATCTTAAATGAGCCATCCACATTAAAAGAATCAAGCCGACCATCAACAGAGACCAAGGTTACTTTATCCGCTAACTATCATGGGAGAAAGCCCTAAGTGATGCAGGTCTTAGACGCTGACCACTTGATGAAACCCACGAGATTGGGTATGGTGCTGACAAACCTAGAAACTAACATCGGGGCGAACCTGATTCTAACCCACGATCACAGGGTTCATGCATGATCAAGGGACGCAACTCTTCACAGCAAATTGCGGCGCCTTAGACGACTGGGCCATCTTTGTCTCTCATCAACCAGCACAACACACTGTAACTACACACTGCTTCAAATGCTTCCACCAGCAGGTCTCGTCCTTTGCCTCTCATCAACCAGCACAACACACTGTAACTACACACTGCTTCCACCAGCAGGTCTCGTCCTTTGTCTCTCATCAACCAGCACAACACACTGTAACTACACACTGCTTCCACCAGCAGGTCTCGTCCTTTGTCTCTCATCAACCAGCACAACACACTGTAACTACACACTGCTTCCACCAGCAGGTCTCGTCCTTTGTCTCTCATCAACCAGCACAACACACTGTAACTACACACTGCTTCCACCAGCAGGTCTCGTCCTTTGTCTCTCATCAACCAGCACAACACACTGTTACTACACACTGCTTCCACCAGCAGGTCTCGTCCTTTGCCTCTCATCAACCAGCACAACACACTGTAACTACACACTGCTTCCACCAGCAGGTCTCGTCCTTTGTCTCTCATCAACCAGCACAACACACTGTAACTACACACTGCTTCCATCAGCAGCTCTTGTCCCTCGGTTTATCCCCGATCATCTAACCCTTGTTTAGTTGTTGTGTTTTTGTGTTTATTTGTTGTTTCTGTGTTTATGTTTATCCCCGTGTATATGAAATCATAACTATATAGTAATGTCCCACTCAATTGTTGAACATTTGCTTGATAAAGCACTAGCATGTGTATTGAAGCGTCACATGGAAACAATAACCACCTTAAAATCAACAAAACCACTCTGTTTTCACGAGTCGTGTTGGAACTTGTCTCTTGGCGCCGACGGTTCGAAATATCAACATGTCAATTTAAACTCCTTCTGGCGCTGGCTAGATCAAATCACCTCTTCCATTTTTAAGGCATTTCACGTTTTAAAGTTCAAATATCCAGTATCATAGTGACAAAGTAACTCCAAAGCAACAGTCTAAATATCAGAATGTCATTTCTTCCCCTTCAAGCGCACTCATAGGTCAAAAGCATAATTGTTTGGTGTCAGTTGATGTCATATGCACTAAACATTGTTTATACATTTGCACCAAAACTAACATATTTCACTACAATTTAAAAAATTCCCTTGACATTAAGTAAAGGCATTCAACCGGTGCAAACACCTCGACAGAAAGTTAATCAAGTTCGGTTTTTTGTTGATTGTTGCAAATGTCATTTCTTCTTTCATATCATACACAAACCAGAAAGTGCATACATTGCACTTACAAGCCATCCTCGGAAAACAAGGGCGTGCATTCTATATTGTACCATATACAACCCTGATGGACATGGGTCAGTTGACCAATCGCTAGAGACCAGTCAAATGTATTCATGCTAAACACAAGGACTGATACCCTATTGCTTCGCTCCGGTCTCTTGTTGTAGTTTCTGATATTTCTTCTTATTCCAGTGAGGGGCGGTGGTGTAGCCTAGTGCTTAAAGTGTTCGCTCGTCATGCGGAAGGTCTTGGTTCGAATCCGCATATGCAAATACAATGTGTGCCGCCCATTCGGATGTTCCCACCATGATTTTGATTGAATATTGCTAAAAGTGGCGTAAAGCCATGCTCACTTACTCACGATGTCAAACCAAATTGACGCAATTTGTACACGTTTGTTTGAACTTGGACTTGGTGCTGACAGATCAAGGTATATGTTATGTGGGATTCGAACCTTCTGTCAGCGGATCCTAAAAAGGCCATTGGACCAGTGCCTGCTGTGCCACTGGTGAAATCCTGTTTAATCCTAATCAGATTGGGTTGAACATACACCAGAACACCGGAACACAAGAACACGGGAACACCGGGCCACAAGAACACCGGAACACCAGAACACCACAACACTGGAACAACAGAACTCCGGAACGCCACAACACCGGGACACAAGAACACCTGAACACAACAACACCGGGACACCAGAACACCGGAACACCGGGACACCACAACACCGGGAAACCACAACACCGGAACACCACAACACCGGGACACTGCAACACCAGGACACCACAACACCGGGACACCACAACACCGGAACACCACAACACCGGGACACTGCAACACCAGGACACCGGGACACCGGGACACCATAACACCGGAACACCACAACACCGGGACACCATAACACCGGAACACCACAACTCCGGGACACCAGAACACCGGAACACTGGGACACCGGAACACCGGAACACCACAACACCGGAACACTACAACACCGGGACACCAGAACACCGGAACACCGGGACACCACAACACCGGAACACCGGGACACCACAACAGCGCACCACAACACCGGGACACCACAACACCGGGAAACCACAACACCGGAACACCGGGACACCACAACACCGCACCACAACACCGGGACACCACAACACCGGGACACCACAACACCGGAACACCAGGACACTGGAGCACCACAACACCAGGACACCACAACACCGGGACACCACAACACCGGAACACCGGGAAACCACAACACCGGGACACCGGGACACCACAACACCGGGACACTGCAACACCGCACCACAACACCGGGAAACCACAACACCGGGAAACCACAACACCGGAACACCAGGACACTGGAGCACCACAACACCAGGACACCACAACACCGGGACACCACAACACCGGAACACCGGGAAACCACAACACCGGGACACCGGGACACCACAACACCGGGACACTGCAACACCGGGAAACCACAACACCGGGACACCGGGACACCACAACACCGGGACACTGCAACACCGGAACACCGGGACACCACAACACCGGGACACCACAACACCGGAACACCACAACACCGGAACACCGGGAAACCACAACACCGAAACACCACAACACCGGGACACTGCAACACCAGGACACCACAACACCGGGACACCACAACACCGGAACACCACAACAACGGGACACTGCAACACCAGGACACCGGGACACCGGAACACCACAAAACCGGAACACCACAACACCGGGACACCAGAACACCGGAACACCGGGACACCACAACACCGGAACACCACAACACCGGAACACCACAACACCGGGACACCAGAACACCGGAACACCGGGACACCACAACACCGGAACACCGGGACACCACAACAGCGCACCACAACACCGGGACACCACAACACCGGGACACCACAACACCGGGACACCACAACACCAGGAAACCACAACACCGGAACACCGGGACACCACAACACCGGGACACCACAACACCGGGAAACCACAACACCGGAACACCAGGACACTGGAGCACCACAACACCAGGACACCACAACACCGGGACACCACAACACCGGAACACCGGGAAACCACAACACCGGGACACCGGGACACCACAACACCGGGACACTGCAACACCGGAACACCGGGAAACCACAACACCGGGAAACCACAACACCGGGAAACCACAACACCGGGACACCGGGACACCGGGACACCACAACACCGGGACACTGCAACACCGGAACACCGGGAAACCACAACACCGGGACACCACAACACCGGGACACCACAACACCGGAACACCACAACACCGGAACACCACAACACCGGAACACTGGGAAACCACAACACCGGGACGCCACAACATCGGGACACCACAACACCGGAACACCGGGAAACCACAACACCGGGACACCGGGACACCACAACACCGGGACACTGCAACACGGGAACACCGGGAAACCACAACACCGGGACACTGGAACACCGAAACACCGGGACACCACAACACCGGGACACTGGAACACCAGGACACTGGAATACCACAACACCGGGACCCACAACACCACAACAATAGGGCACCAGGACACCAGGACAACGGGGCACCGAGGCACTGGAATACCACAACACCGGGGCACTGGAATACCACAACAATAGGACACCAGGACACCAGGACACCGGGACACCGGGACACCGGGGCACCGGGGCACCGGGGCATCACAACAACAGGACACTGCAACACCGGGGAACATGCTATGAATAATTAAGGCAACTACAACGCGTATGTTTTTCATAACAAGTACATGTTATTTAAAAAATAATCTATCTGTATTCATGAGATTAAGTGAAAATCTGTTTTTATTCCGTAGTAAATGTGTTAATGCTATGGTTGATAACAACCCCCAACTTACCTACTTCCAAAACCGATAACGTACAGCTTTGCAAAATTTTCTCTTTCCGCTGTTTTGCAATCTGTTAATTGAATGAATTTACGATACGGTGCATTTCATGAAACATGCTCGGTCTCATACCTTGCTTTTTCGGTAGTCGGCCATTGAATACCTTGTCCAATTGTGATTTACAAGGCGGCATTATGGGCAACAGGCCACAATGAATAGTTTGACTGACTATTATGCACGCGTTTATAACAGTTAAAATGTTCAATACATTTGTATAGGGAATCGGTAGGACGTGGTTTGTTTGGACAACTGCACATTGAATACCAATGTGTGTTAACGTACAGGGCTTCGTGACATTCATTATTGGTCAAGATGACATGAATATTTCTCGCAAAAGTACATATGGAATTATCCTTTTATCTAGTTCTTCCTCTATCCATTTTCAATACATTTGATACAAAAGACTTACGACTATAAAACGTCAACGTCAGAGATTGTCCAGTCTCGATTACGGGACGAAACAGATTCCATTAAGCATATAAGGCATCGGTAATTACATGAAAGGATGTGAAAAATCAGCGATGAAGCCATGCCATGTGTCCAGACTGCAACTTAGGTAGAGGGGGGTTGGGGTGGGGTGGGGTGGGGTTGGTCAGGGTGGGATGGTAGAGGCACGGGGATGAGGTGACAACATCCTCATATTCAGCATGCAGTCTCATATATCCATGGGCCCGTTTTCCACAAAACGATCGATCATAGGACCACGGCGGTCGTAAGTCTGTGTTAAAGCATGGGAGTTAAGATCGTCTCAGCGCTGCGACAGGTTAGTGGGGCCGGGCCACGGTCTGTATATTTACTCCCTAAGTCAGTCGGTGATATACCATTGCCGCTGTTTTATCAAAGACAATGAGAGAGCATAAACCATTATGTCTTTAATTTACATCGCAATTACATGTAAATTATTCACATTGTTTTGAATTGATAATGATACGACTCGTATCGGTATCGGATAACGCTGATTTGAATTCATACAAAGATTGAGTGATATCGACTAAACCAGTTTTTACATATTGCAGCTTTATCACAACATGGACAATCACGAACGATCGTTACACACTGAACCCATGTGGGAATCGAACCGGAGACTGACAAGCGAACGCGCTACCCACTCGACTACAAGCATACAGTACCCTAGCTACCTGGCATAATGTGTTCTCAATACTCACTATATTGATATATACTATAACATGAGTAGTGCACGGTTTTTCATTGCAGGGCTAGGTACTACTTCTCTCAGCAAGTGGCCAACCACACAGACATACAAGTTTCTAACTGCACAGTCATGCTTCACATTCGAGTTGTCAGGTGACTGCGTCAATGGCTTGGGTATTTCACAAGGTGTATTAATAGACACAACACATGAACAGAACACTTGTCCTCGTTTCGCTTGGCAATCCTGTTGGAACACGAACTTTAGATTATTTTTTTCTTGCGGATTACAAACATGCATGTATGAATAAAATAGTCGTTCCTGTTTAAAAAACGTAAACCTTTTTTTATACGAACCCTCGTTAGCACGTACCCCTTTAATCGAGAAAATGCATCCCGGGCGAATTCCTGCGTGGAATGTTTATACAATGGGACTCCTTAATTCGGACTTAATACGAACACAGTTAGGATCGTCTGATGGATTAAGGGTTTTTTAATGTGGTAGTCCCTGGTATAATTTCCCGCATAGACCTCAGTGCTGGTTGTAAACGAGCGATGTGTCGAAATTGTAGTGGCAACGAGGTCTGGCTGTCCTTGTGTAACATCACACCCCGATGGCTTGGATTAATAATCAATACCCTATCAAAAGATGGTTTGTTTGTACCAGACGTGATCTAAATTCTAGGATTAGTGATGGTATTCTGGGTAAACGTGTACCAGTGCAGTGAAATCTTGATATTTAAATAAAACAAACCTTTAAGCGGTGACAGAGAAGGGCTTCAACAGAGAGCTCTTTCAAATCGTTCTTGGTGCAAAACTAACATTGAGAAACCTTACAAAAAATAAATCGAAGCGAACCCAGAGACCACATTATAATAATGACTTTACATGTCTCAAATAGTATTTTGCTGGCTTCATTAAACGCAACAGAATGTTTAAATTAGAACCAGCAATAGAACGCGCTGGTGATTTTATGTAAGACATTTCTAGGGCAATTCAATAAAACATGTTTGAAGCTGTTTCGTCAATTTTACATTACCAAACTGTTATCTACAACTCTGACAATTGCAAATCCCACACGGAAATAGAAATTATTTTTATTTTATTATATCTCTTTATTCGATAATGGTGCGATACGATAAAGGCATTCTTTAAAATTTGATGACTGTCTTTGACTGAATGGCTTTGTTTAATGAAAGTCATGAAAGGCTTCTTTAAAAAAACACTTTTTTGTTTGCAATTTAATGTGATTCAATTCTTTTAGGATCACTGAAAATGTTTTTTTACAAAAACTATTGCTATAATTGCTCGGCTAATTATATCTCGTTCATTTATATCTGCACAAATCTGAATTATTTGTATAAATAAAATACGACATGATTACAATAGTTATAGCCTTCATCAACCTTCAAAGCAAGAATATAAACTGCGAGCTCACACAGGTATCACCAGCTAGCGTAAGATCTGTTTATAGTCTTGCTTTCACACATGATATTGTCGGGTTTCAAACTTCACGCTATTATTCATACGCCCTCATGGGCTTGAGTGGACGGTATTTCACGTCGGCTGAATGACATAACACGTCGATTTCACATACCGACGAGGTGGGCTAGATATCATTAACGTACAATCTGGTTGGCCAGGTGTCTGATGTCGTGTCGATATACTTTGAATAATGTAGATAACCCTTGACATCGGATGTGTGAGTCTATATATATGTATGACATGGACGCACTGCAGTGCCGGTACCAGTAAGTTCCACGTGCTGACTTGGACTGGGCCTTGTTAGAACAGGTGATGCACGTTTACCACTTCGGTGAAAGCAGCCATCATGGATGAGGTGCAGCCACACCAAGACGCCTTATCAGAGAGAATTCGGGATTCGAACCCATGATTATCGGATTTTGGTTCGCGTTGGGTACACAACTCTGCATTACGCGCTTCTTACAACTGGGCCACGCGTGCCCCCCAAATCAGGGGCGGTGGGGTAGCTTAGTGGTTAATGCGTTCGCTCGCCACGCCGAAAATCCGAGTTTGAATACGCACATGGATACAGTGTGGAAAGACCATTTCTGGTGTCTCCCGCCGTGGTATTGGTTGGAGTGTTGCTTAAAGCTCCGTAAAACCATACTCACTCACTCCCCTTCAAATCGAGACGTAATTAGTGTCCAATGTAAAATTGGACATTGTGTGGATATCCATCCCAAGTTTGAGACACTTCATACAATTTGTGCAATTTGAATTATTTGCATGTGAATGATTTGAGGTGTTAATTGACACAAAAAAACATGACAGTTACACACCTTCTCGTTATTCAGGAATACTTCGCAGCAACTTCTCAAACACACGAGTTACCGAAATATAGGACACGCCACATCAGACAAGCAGAAAACATTTTATTCCTGAAAATTAAAAACATTTCGATCAAAACCATTCAATAGTTATATATTTTCCATTTTTTCGAATTAAACACACATCAAAACGGAGATGGGATTGAAAATAATACGATTTTGAAAAGAGGCCAAGGTCTCCGTACAAATACTATGGCACGGGGCAAGCAATGTCGTACTCCGGAGTGATACAGCTGACACACATGTGGGTGCAGCAGATGGAGACACACATGACACACTGTATTGACACGTGCTGGGGCCAGATGCGGTGATGATGCAATACGCATTCAACCCTCGTGTTTCGAGTTTGTTCAATGGTTTTGTTGATATTGAGTTGATTTTGAATGATTTGGGTCTGAAATATCTGACCCTTTGTAAATAAAATGACAGCCTGACGTATTGTTTTTTTCTTGGATAGTGCAATGTCCTGATCGTCCACACCACACCACACTTATCACATACTGAGTTACCTCGTAACACCTGGGGGTCGTGGGGTAGCCTAGTGGTTAAAGCGTTCGCTCGTCACGCTGAAGACCCGGGTTCGATTCCCCACATGTGAAGCCCATTTCTTGTGACCCCCGCCGTGATATTGCTGGAATATTGCTGAAAGCGGCGTAAAACCATACTCACTCACTCAGCACCTGACTCCATTGCCGAGATAGCAAATAGAGGGGTAGGAATGTACTTCACACATTGTACCCTTGTGGAATTGAACCAGTGCGTTCGGCGTGAAGAGAGAAAGCTCAACCACTAGCCTAAGGTGTCGGAACTCACTGTGGAGAGTTGCCTCCCTTAAGATCACCGTTAGTTGTAGGTTCTACTGTCAAACATTATGATTCTTGGTTTGCTGGTTTTGCTCATGAGTTTCGTCGAAGTGGAAAATGCATATTGTATCTTTGGTCTGTGTTAGTTTTGGCTTTTCTCCCATATTCAACTGTTTCTGATGATTACAACAAGTGTTATTAATAGTATGATCATTAATATTAATATTGTCAAAAGTATTTGCGTGTTTGGGTAGCCTAATGGTTAAAGTGTTCGCTCGTCAGTGCGGAGTCCTTAGTTCGATTCCCAACATAGGGACAATGTTAAATATTGCTCACAGATAAAGAAATACACACGAAATCACAAGTTTCATTCTTACCATCGTTGTCGTCGCTAA